CTATTAGAATAAAGACCTATCGCTTTGCCAGCAGATGCAGGCACTGGGTGTGGCCCTAGGTTGGTATCCTAGGTAATAGGATGTCGGATGGTTATGGACGACAGCCCTCTGTTTGTCTTCCTGTTGTCTGTGGGTATCGAGTTTGGTGGTGGCAAGCCGCCAAGACCCGTGAAAACTCTGCCATTCTGGCGGCGTTGAGGACGACGTTTCCAAAGACGACCTCTAGCCACGACGCAACGCCGCTGCACCAGTAATGAACGTGATTCTCACTCTCGTACGGGCCTTGCGGTTCGAACGAGACGGAAAGGAACGCCCGTACGACAATACGGGTCGAATCACGATTTTGGTGTTCCTTTTCTTTACAGGTATATACCACCTTTCTATATAGTATAAGGGTAATAATATACCACTAGATTAGGTTATAGCAGTAAGTAATAATAGCTAGATAATAAATAAGCTTAGTATTACCTGGCTATACTATTTTAATGCGCATATAAAAGATTGTATAATAGGCACGCACCGGCTGCTAATTATTAATGGCCACGAGAGCTATATCTCGCTCGAATTCCAATAGATTTATAAGGAGAATAATATTATTACTCTCTATATACCAGCGTATTTATCGCACCTGCTACAGCCGCTTAATATTAGCTGCTTTACGCTAATAAAAAAGGCGTATAGGCGCTAAATTAAGGGCTTAGTGCGCTACTATATTAACTATATTACTAAGCTAGAGTTCCTGCCAGCATTTAAAGCAGCTTTCTATAGCTTAATTATAAAAAGCAATATTTGCACAGGCTTTCGAGGCGCAGGCCTTATACTACTTAATCTAGAAGCAGTGCTATTAAAGCTTAATATTAGGCTCTGTACGCTGTTGCCTCCGCCTGCCGCTATGGAGGCTCTATAGAAATTAAAAACACTAAGCAACGCTCTTAAGCTAGGCTCTTAATTAGCTTTAATTTGTAAGCGCATTTAAATGCATTAAAATAGCTCGCCTACAGCTATTCTTAACTCGCTTAATAGCCTCTCTAAAGGTGCTGAAAGCATAATGCATTAAGCTGCGCTGCTGCGCGATACTGTTACCAGCCTTCAAAAGGCAAATAAAGCCGCTATAAAGCGCAAGGCGCGCAAAAAAAAGCGCATTCAGAGGGAAGGAACTCTGATAATGGAAGCAGGCTCTCAAATAGCTGCTCAACGGCTCGAGAAAGACGCTCAAAGCAAAAAGCAGCAAGGTGGAGCAGGCTCTAATGGAATCGTGCGGCGCTGTGGGCGCTGCGGCGAGTTAGGGCACAACATTCGTACGTGCAAAAACGATGCAGAGGTTGCTGCAGATCAGGCTACAAGTTGTATATAGTTGATATCTATTGGCGTTGTGGAGCAATTAACGTTTGAGGCAGGTTTTTATAATGAAGTGGACGGCTCGCTTAGGTGGACGGCTCGCTTGTGGAATACGTTAAGCAGGAGTTTAAGAGCTTAGGAGGAAGCTTTAATTAGATGCTAAATACGTTACTACGTGGGGAATCAAGACGTTGTGTAAGGAATAGGAAATCGAGAGCGCCGGCGAAGAAGATATGCCGGCGGAACGTGCGTATGGCATGAGCTCGCGAGCTCCGTGCGAGATCAGGTGACGACGCTACGTGATCTAGTCTATAACCTAGACTACGACCTAGACTAGGTCACGTGATCTAGGCTACGTTCTAGGATATAATCTAGACTAGGAGCTAGACTAGACACGTGATCGGCGAATTATAGTGGGTAAGGTGTTACGGGTGGTTACCGTAATATATATATATAAGTAAGTTTATATAAAAAATTTTAAACTATAATAACTTTTTATTATTTATAGCTAATATAATAAACTAAACAGTATATAATAGCTTTTATATATTTTATTAAATATATCCTTTACTAAAATATATAAAATATAAGTATATTATACTTTAGGGCCCCCCTACGCCGGCCCTTAACACGAAATGGAATAAGAATTAGGCAACTAAACACCACAAGCTTACAAAAGCAGAGAGCTTAATTATCACGCTCCTACGAACGGAACACATAGGGCTTAACGCATACCTGCACCGCATGAGGGTGCCCAATCACCCTTCGCCCGCGTGCCCCTGCGGGCATATACCACAGTCTCCAAAGCACGTAGTAATGCACTGTGAACGACACCGCAACGGCAGAGGCGATATGTTCTTTAAGGCCAGAACAAGAACGTATATGCAGCTGTACAAAGACCACAAGGGAAATAAGGCCGTTTCGCAATGGTTCCTGCACTAGACAGACCTCCTACCCTACCTCTCTATAGCTAGAGAGATGGCAACGGAAAAGCTGGCTATACAGCCAGCCGACTCGTATAGCCACGCCCCAAGAACAGAACTACACGCACGCACGCACATTGCATAACCACAACCACAGGCACGCCCGCAACAGGGCAACCCCCCCAATTTCCTATTGTCCTTCAATTCAATACCTCGGCTTTTGAGAAAAAGGGCACGCGCGTACGGTAAGGGCACGCGCGCCCTAACGCGGACCCCGGACCTTACTAACCTTCTGGACACCGTACAACCCTGGAACCTAGGGCCTACGGACACCGGATCGATCCTGGAGAATGCATTAAGATGGCTTACTCCGTGGCGATGCTCACAGAGCTGCCACGCGTCCCCCACAGCCGCGCAGAAACAAAAGGAACGCAAGGCGTTATACACTGTAGAAAACAAGGTTTTCACCAGACCGCTATAGAGCGAACGGTTTCCCCTTGTAAATAAAACCTAGATAGCACTGCCGCATGGACCCTAACGGGAGCTAAATCGGCCTAATAGAACCTAATAATAATAATAATAATAATAATAGTATATAATATACTTATAAATAAGCTTATATTATACTTTTTATAGTATATATAGCTTATATTTTATAGTTTATAGCTTATATTTTCTTTAATTACTTATATATTTATAAATATATTATACTTTATATAATAGCCTTTTTTTAAAACTAATTATATTAAACTTTTATTATTAAATTTAGGTAAAAGCTTTTATAACTTATAAATATAGTATATTTAAACTATATACTAAAAGTTTTAAGTTATTTTATTAGAAATCTATTTAGTTATTAAAATAATACTATTTCTAAATCTTTTTATTTAACCTTTAATAACTTAATATATAATAGATATATTTTAGTAATTTTTTTATATTCCTAAATACTAAGTATAGTAGTATATAATAGTAAAAATCTAGCTAATTCTATTAGAGCGTTACAATTTAGCAATGTTGTTAGGGTTTTTAAGAAACCGTGCACGAGGTGGTAGCGTGCACGAGCCAGTCGCCACTTCTACGCGAAGAACCTGGCAAAGCTCCATGGAGACACCTTCGGCTCCGACCCCGATGCCGTGCGCGTCATGTTCCACACCACCCTCATGGGCGAAGTCGTATCAACACATGTAGACTGTTTCGCCGCCCTTCTCGCGTTTCTCATGCTCACATAACATTACAGGGTGGGTACGGCCTGAAACCCGCCAAAGGCATGTTTGGTGTCACAACCGTCGCCGACCACATGATAGCGTATGTCGACTTTCGCGGACCTCCCGAAGTCTGGGAACAGTTTTGTAGAAAAGCGCAGAGGCTGTACCAGACGCCCGGGCCTAATTACTGCGGTACCTTGGCGTCGATTTACTTGGTAAGATTGGACGCAGAGTTTGAGTTTGGGGGGTTGATTTCTACACTGCCTCCCGTTGTGGCCGAGAGTAGTAAGGGTGCGCCCCCGGCGTATGGTGAGCATATGAGAAATGAGGAGGGTATCTGAGAAAAACATCAAATTAACCGTTGCACGGTGCTGTTTCAAGCATAGTGTGAGCTACTCCATCCTCAATATACCACCGGGTGCTTCCTGAAGGGACCAGGAATCAGAGAGCTAATCAGGTATTTGCTAAATGTCGTTTGTAACCTCTGCCACCGCCGTGGTCTCCCGCATGTGCCCATCATATTTCGTCGCCGTCATTGATACAACAGAACGTCGTTCACATCGCCACCGCATGACCTGACCATTTAATCGGAGTAATCAGTATGCGAAGCCTGACACAGGTTTTGTCCAAACTCTGTATCGCTCTCTTGGTCACATGTCTTCTCGTATGCAGGTGCTATAGTTGCTGTCTCCGAGACAGAGCCAGGTAAAGAAGACGAGAAAGATTTCGCAGAGCCCAATCGTACGCTATGAGCGCGTCCAATCTAATCCTATATTCTTCGAAAATGGTCGCCGACGGTGATATGAAGACGTTTCGGATTGCCGGGCGATGTTAAAGCATGAAGCGGAGAATAGCAGCGATAGAGCCTCAGGGCAGACACGATCCCATGGATTGAGGCACCGCCCGTTTTCTTGACTCCCCTAAATCTCTATTCTTTCTTTCTTTCTTTCTATCATCGTGAAAGCACTACAACTGGTTATTTTTGTGGCGGGCTCAGCCAAGGAATTCTCGCACGTGTTGGATTTGCTCTGAGCGATCGGCCAGTGCTTACTCTACCCGTGGTTGCGCAATATGAAATGGGGTCAGGAGATATAGATTCAGCTTCTAGGTACTGATTGATACTCGGTTCCAGATCTGGAGATGTCAGTTCAGAAAGTGGTTTCCCGCGCTGGATAGGACTTGGCTCCGGAGAGATAGATTTAGCGTGCGAATATTGATCGATACTAAGTTCTGGACTCGGAGGCTTCTGTTTGGAGACTGATTCCTCGAACTGGGCCTTAGCTTGCGGGTACTGTTTGACCGCTGGATATCGTATTCTCGTGCTGTGGCTCTGCGTGCGGACATTTTACGATACAAGATTCTGAACCTGAACCTTGCTTTCCCGGAATCGGTTTCTCCTGTCTGGGAGGACAGGGACAGAGCAGTCGTCTGGCGATGATGCAAAACAGACGGAATGCCGGGTAGAGAGTTGCGATGCCAACGACTCCCAGAAGAACGAAAGCGACGACCACCCGAACGGTGAGGCGAGCTATGGCAACGGTGGCGAAGGCGGACAAAAAGACAAAGAGGACGAGGATGAGATAATGGACCGCGTTGACTGCATTGTCGAAGGAAGAAGTGACGGCATTGTGGAAGCCGGTATGAATGAGGTAGGTGATGGTAAGTAAGACGCCAGCGATGACGATAAGTAGGTCGTTTACTTCTTCGAACGGGGCTAGAAAGTCAAGCAATCTGGACATGCTTTCCCTAACGATATCTTAGGTTTCGGCGCGAAGGTAAGAGAACACGCAAGAGGAGAACAGAGCACGTAGGTATTGGCCGGTAGTAAACGAGATGAATATGAGGAAAGGTAGTTTGAGAATTCTCTGTATCCAAGATTCGGGACTAGACTATTGGAGGAAAGTGAGACCCAATTCACTCCTTCTTCCACAATTGGAGACCTCTGGTACTTCCATCGCGTCCACAGAACCGATTCCCGGCTCATAAACGCTACCTCCAACTTCCACCCAAGAACCTGCAATCCAATGGCGAGCCACGCTGCTATTCCTAGGCGTCGTAGAACACTCTTTTTTACCTTGTATCTTAGTATTAATCTACCCGGCGTGGTTGCCTTAAGGTTTGGTTACCTGAGCCCAACGTTCACCTGGAAATGAGGTGGCGGCCGGCCGGCCGCGGCACAGTTGGTGAAATATGTGATGGCACGAAAGGCATTAAGAGTTTCTAGCCTCACAACACCGCAACCAACGCCTGGTACCTAAGAAAAAGTAGCTAGATGCATTCGAGGGGCCTGCTCTTGATGCATGCACCCTTTCTTTCTGATGATTTCGACGCTTTTTGATAGTTCGAGGTCGACGAGTGACTTGTGCCTCGGTGCCTTCCTCGACCGACATCACATACTTCGCCCACTGCGGCACAGCATACTACTGCCTAACCTGCCACCTTACATGTCTGCACCGATGGGTTAAATAGCCTCCGGCCCCTCAAGTACGATAGCATCACTGTTCAACTCTTCTCTGCTCTCCAGTGACATCTTAACCAAGATTGCCTGCTCGACTCATCCCAACTTCCTAAACAACATGATATCACAAGCTACCAAGATTGAAGGGTGCCAGCAAACCATTAGGTACCGCTTCAACAACACCGACCATCTTTAGGAGGCTCTTCAAGCCGCCGGACTGCCAGTACGTACCTGCGATGGTGGAACTCGTTTCGATGGGAACAAGAGGCTGGCTGTTGTGGGCGATGCCGCGATGAAAACGGTTCATGTGATGCATTGGCATAGCGGAAATGAAACTAGAGGTAGAGTGTTTGTTCCGACAATCCGAAAACGCCGTTAACGAGATGCAGGCCAGATGAACCTAAGGTCGAACAAGAATCTCGATCGCGTTGGTACCATGATCCACCTGGGTAATCACATCAACAAGAACCCCTCTCAAGGGAATTCCGTTCCGCCCACTACGATGGCCGATACGGTTGAAGCGATCCTTGGTGTTGTTTTGAAGGACAGCGATCTTGATCATGTTGCGCTGGTCATGCGCAACATAGGTCTCATGTCCTGAATGAAGATATGCTGAGCCACCGGTAAGGTTAATGCCCCACCTATGCCCACTATGAATTGACAAGGTCCGATAGGCATAGCATTTTCGAAGAGGGTCTCGAGAACCTCTGCGTCCTAGCCCCTGGGGCGAGCATGGTGACGACTGATTACTTAATAGCCAGGCTCTTTCTTCCATAAATTCGTCGAAACAGGCTTCGTTTATCAGCTTAGCACTTCCAGACGTACTTATTCCAAATATGGATTGAAATTGTCTTCCAGGCGTTCCCATAGCTTGACCCAGGAGCCTGGACGGAAAGGATCTCGAGAGCCCCTCCGGCCGTGTGCTCTGCACATAGGGGCCGTATGAGAGTGCGCTGATGAGAGGTCGTGCACTGGAGGCCGGTTTTTAATGTTTCTCTATGCTCAGATATCTCTTAACCCATGTCGGTTCGCTATGGATAGGCTGAGAAGGATTTGCCGTGACGGATGTTCTCGATGTTCAACATTGCTGCCATCTGAAATTGTTCAGCCAGATTTTACGTTGTTAGTCGTTGTGGGATTATTTGATTCATCGGTCTTACCCGAATCCACTCGTTTTACGCTTCTGGTAGAATACCTTGGTTATCTCCAGAACTGGAGATCACATGACCTGTACAAACAGCAATAATTGACTCTAGGAGATTTATAAAAGGCTACATAGTGACAGAGTCTAAGCCACAGTGCTCCCATGAGGCTGGATTTTAGATTGTGCGCTTGAAGACTGATGAGGCTGGCGACTTGCAAAAGAGAGAACTCGTCGATCAGGAGTCAGGGGAGGAGCCGCTCACAGCTAACTAGTCCGTGCGCCGATTTTCATGCAGGAACATAACTTTCATTCATAACCAAGTACCTCAACCTCACATCGCGACCCCTCTGAAGATCTGTACCCGCCAGCTCCCCCGAGCTTCCCAGTGCTCAAGCGGCCGATCAATCCACCATGAGTACGGCGGTGCCGGCGCGGACTCTTCGCACAATGGCCTTTAGCCGGACCTCGGGTGGCTTCATTGGACACACTCGACCATCACTCAGAAGAGTGTCTCTCCACCCAGCTCGAGTCCCCGTCGCGTATCGTCAAGCATCCACCGCATCCGAGCTAGCCACCGATGGCCGTTCTGTTCTCACGCGCACGAGGAACTTACTGTACGGGACCTCAATTGTTTTCTTCCTAGGCTTCGGATACCTTTACATAACCGACACGAGAGCCAGTATTCACGAATGGCTTGTTGTTCCGGCATTGCGGATGATATATCCAGACGGTGAAGAGGCACATCATGCTGGAACTGTCGCATTGAAGGGCCTGTACCAATTCGGACTCCATCCCAGGGAGCGGGGGAATCCTGACGCTGCGGGTGATCTGAGGGTGGAAATATTTGGACATATCCTGGATAACCCCATAGGGACATCAGCTGGGATTGATAAAAATGCCGAAGTACCGTCACCACTCCTCGCACTTGGTCCTGGCATCGTGGAAATTGGTGGAATCACCCCACTGCCGCAGCCGGGTAACCCCAAGCCCAGAGTTTTTAGGATACCCTCGCAAAACGCCATGGTCAACCGATATGGCTTCAATTCTGAAGGCGCAGAGCACGTTTCCATGACGCTGCGCCAGAGAGTCAGAGAATATGCCTTACGTGTTGGTCTTGGTATCGACGCAGAGGCTGAGCGGATAGTACTGGACAGTGAGGCTGGAGTGCCTCCAGGGTCTTTGGTGCCGGGAAGGCTCCTCGCTGTTCAAGTTACCAAGAATAAGTCGACCCCAGATAATGACATTGAAGCCGTCAAACGAGACTTTGCTTTTGGGATAGCACACCTGGGGAAGTACTCGGACATCATTGTGGTCAACGTCTCGAGTCCGAACACGCCTGGTCTGCGCGCACTGCAAAACGTGGCACCGCTAACGCATATCTTGACCACCTGCGTCAAGGCTGCGAGCGAAGTTGATAGGAAAACAAAGCCTGCCGTCCTTGTCAAAGTCAGTCCAGATGAAGACTCGGAGGAGCAAGTGTCCGGTATATGCGAAGCCATATGGCAATCCGGCGTTGACGGAGTCATCGTCGGCAACACGACGAAGAGGCGTCCAGATCCAATTCCAGAAGGGTACAGCCTCCCGCCAAAGGAAGCAGCCATACTTCAAGAGCAGGGAGGATACTCCGGACCACAACTGTTTCCAAGGACGCTGGAACTGGTCAAGCGATATCGCAAGATGCTAGACGAAGGCCCAAAGTCTACCGATGCCGAATCCCCTACGGAATCTCTCCGACGCAAAACCATCTTTGCCACAGGAGGTATCACAAATGGAGGTCAAGCGCTCCAGATACTGGAGGCTGGTGCAAGTGTTGCGATGGTGTATACAGCTATGATATATTCTGGTGCTGGCACAATTACCAGGATCAAGACCGAAATGAGAAATGAGCTTCGCGAAAAGTAACTATTTGGAGCATGGATCACGGCCTGATTTGTGTATACTTACTGTACTTTATGACCCAGCCTTGAAATAGATGAACACGTCCTTGGCATCCAATTCTTCTGCGAAGTATAGCAGCATATCATGCTTCTGTGGGCCTGGTGATCCGCCCTGATCGGTTGGTGTACTGTCGCTGTGGTAAAATTATCTATTTAAGACTTGCTGCCTGGCCCCAAATGGGAGGTCAACATTGCCTATATTCTGGAAATAAAAAAAAACAAGGCGGGCCGCTGGGTGTAACACCCTATGTAGTCAATACACAATCCTCACCACCACCTGTGAGATGTTCTAATTGGCTTGAGCGGGCTCACGTTGCGTTGGATTTGAGTATTTATAAGTATTTAAGCTGGAGAGCAAGCTGATAAAGGACTATTCTAAATTATATAGTGTATAACTATCTACAGAGACTACACGCTTAATATTAGTCAAATCTTATCTTATAGAGACTTATTTCTATTCAGCCTTGTTCCCCTAGTTAGTAGCCGCACCTTACCTTATCTACTAAGTTTACAGTAGTTTTCTACTTTATCTTTGTAAAGGTTGTATAGGAAGGATCAACAGATAGAGCGGTAGTAGGATGGATGTTAAATTAATTGAATTAGATATCCTCCCATCTTATAGAGGTTGGGCCTCTATATACTTCAATATATAAGTACTAGAAGTTTCTCTATGCTTTAAAAGCATAGTTTGTAATGCTTATACTAGCATATTCTAGATACTTCTATATATTACAAATACAGTTAATTTATAAGAGAATCTTTCCATAAGATTCCATCTGGTTCTAGATGGTTCTAGAAGCTTAGAAATATAGCGCTTATTATATTCTAACACACCCCCATAAGCGTTATATTCTATTTTCTGTTAGATTAACAGATAGATAGGTTTTTCCAGATAGATAGATAGATAGATAAATAAATAGATAGATCAACAGATAGATAGATAGATAGATAGATAGATAGATAAAAAAAAAGAGAAGAAGTCTATCTATCTATCTATTTATCTATCTATGTATTTATCTATTCACCAACTTCAGATTCTAGTTTTATGTATTCAACAATTTTTGTAAAACTAGATCCTACTAGAGGTTTTGTGAATATATCAGCTATTTGTTCCTTAGTATTAAGGTAGGCTAGCTTTATCAACCCATTTTATATATTTTCTCTTACAAAATGATATTGTATATCAATATGCTTTGTTTTAGCATGGTGTTCAGGGTTATTTGCTAGTTCTATAGCTGACTAGCTATCTGTAAATAGGTAGAAATCTTCTGTATTTCCAATTTCTAGTTGTTTTAATACACCTATTAAGTGTATATATTCTTTTATAGTCTCTTTTAGAACCATGTATTCAGATTCACAACTTAATAGTGCTACACTTTTCTATAGCTTACTATTCCAGGAAATTGGCGTTTTCCCATATAAGAAGTAATAGCCAGTAGTAGATTTTCTGCCTATAATATTACCCCTATAATCTGCATCTGAATACCCTAGTATATAATATAAGGATTATAATAGCATAAGCGTTATATCCCTATGCATAAAGCTCTCAAAACAACTAAAACTATGCACGTTTAAACGTCATACAGTAAACGTTTGTAACAGGAAAAGTGAGATAACGTTACAGAAGCGTTAGAGGACGTTTCACAATGCTATACGTATGTATATATATGCAACTCCGCTGCCGTCGATGTAAAGAAGAACTCAAGCAATACACTTCTATCTATCTATCCATACAACTTTGTTCTATCTCTCTCTGCATCGACTCTATACTTTTAACAGGTTATGAGCTCGGATCGCACTATTCAAACACCTCAATCAACACTACAAAGCAACGGGCAGGCCCCTTCTATAAATCAATCGAGTATTAGACAAAAACGCTGTCGATCTCTGTAAAGGTATATGAGGCACGTGGTGAAATGGTGAAGGTTTAAATAGGTGTTGTATTACTGATCAGTATATAAACTGGTTAAGATTATTAAGTTTACGGAGCGAGGCAGCGGTCTTAATATACCTCAGTCGTTCTTTATTAGAACGTAGTTTTTGTTGTAATAAAGAGTTAACGTCTCTTTATTAAGACAAAGCCTCTTTATATACAACAAGTTCTTTATTAGGACAAAGAGTCCTTTATTAGGACAAAGGAACAAAGAATCTATAAATAGATTTGTATCTATGTATATATATAGATAATAGAACAAAGAAATATATCGCTTATTCTTGTTCTAATAATCTCCATTACCACTATACAAACTCGAAGCCGAACTAGAAGAAGCTGAATACAAGCCTGCACTACAACAACTCGAACGCGATCTTAATATTAGAAAAAGAATAAGCGATATATTTCTTTGTTCTATTATCTATATATATACATAGATACAAATCTATTTATAGATCCTTTATTCCTTTATTCTAATAAAAAACCCTTTATTGTTCTTTGTTCTAACAAAGAACTCTTTGTCCTAATAAAGGACTCTTTGTCTTAATAAAGGACTTGTTGTATATAAAGAGGCTTTGTCTTAATAAAGAGACGTTAACTCTTTATTACAACAAAGACTACGTTCTAATAAAGAACAACTAAGGTATATTAAGACCGCTGCCTTGCTCCGTAAACTTAATAATCTTAACAAGTATATATACTAATTATTAATACAACACTTACTTAAACCTTTACTATTTTACTACATACCTTATATACCTTTACAGGTTATAAGCGCGGATAGCTCTAGCCAATTATAAGCCTAGAAACACAATAAAGAACTATTATATCTGTTTTCAGACAAAATCAACGCAAACGTCAATCTACCCCGCACAAACGTCAAAGAACAACAAAAACGTTAGTTTTCTTCAGACGGAACCAACACAAACGTCAGATTACCCCGCTTGCACGCAATTGTGGCTTCTTCCAACAAAAGCTACTACATAGAGGCTAATTCCAACATCGGACAGAAACATAGACAACTTTCTGCACTGTTATCACCTCAAATTACTCTAGCAAGCCCAAATTACATTAGAAATCAAGATATTTCTCATTAAACCGAGCGTATATCTAATTACAACGAGCGTACATCCCATTACAAAGACAAAATCGACGGCCTTGTACTAGAACTTGACAATAGTGAAATACAAATTAATACTACGTTATCTGGATTGTTTTAATATACACCGGAAGGGAGAATTAAACTCTCTTATTTTCTGAAAATAACAGAATATCCAGCTTTTCCACAACAAATACCCTTTCAGTGTTATTTTCCTTACGGAATTACTTAATACACTACCTATATACCGGAAATCTATTAAAAGAATTAACAAGAAAGAGCTCTCTCTATTAAGAATCCTTATTTTGTGTATTCTTTTCCTAGAAGTATTAAGGTTATATACAACAGTAGTATTAACCCATAACGTGCTAGTATTAAGCTATACAAATGTTATAATAGGAAGACCCTGGAAGGAGCAGTTATTTATATTGGATTATACCCTCCTATACTCGTAATTCAGCCATTCTTCAAAGGTTACTACTAGTTAGTAGAAAATACAATAAGTCTTCTTACAACAAGTATATTACTACTAAAGGGAACGCTATACAATTAATACTTGTAGAGATATTTAAATATACAGTATCTATCTGTTAATTCTATCCATCTACACAACAAGCTCAATTCTATCTACACAACGAGCTCAATTCTATCTATCTACACAACAAGCTCAATTCTATCTATCTATCTATCTATCTATCTATCTATCTATTTAAGATGACTAAGAAGATAACAATTAGAAAGCTTACTGGCTAAGCCAATTACGAAGTATAGGCTCTTAGAGTACAATCTCTATTAGTAGAAAAAGGCTGTGCGCACGCAATATCAGCTATATCTGCTGTTATAAAAGCGGATGCAGATTCTAAAGCATTAGCTACTATTAGGCTTACTATAGAAGATGGACCCTTATTACAAATCTAGTATTCTACAACAGCCTTAGAAGCATAGAATCTGCTTAATAACCTATATAGCCCTAAGGGCTTCAGCTCCGAGTTTTTTATTTGTAAGGAACTATTTAATACTGTCTTATCTAAGTTCTCTTCTAAAGAGGAATACCTTAATAAGGTTAAACAGTTAACAGATTAATTACAAGTTAAGGAAATACAACTACCTAATTAGGTAATAGTTGCTTAGGTTTTAAATAACCTTACAAGTCCTTATAAGGGCTTTATTACTATGGTAACATAGTCCTATAGAGAAGACTCTACTAGTATTAACTTAGAGAGTCTATTTTCTAATTTAATAGACAACTCTAGGCGCCAAGGCTCTAGAGATAAGGAGCTAGCACTGTTTAATAAGAGACCCCCAGGGAAATTCTATAAAAACAGTCAGCCGAAGCATAGTAAGGCTAATAAGCCTAACTATAATAAGACGAAAGTCGAAAAGAACAAGTATTGTAAGAAGTGTAAAACAAACACTTACTATACAAAAGACTACTTTCATCTACTTCCTAATAAGGCTCCTAAGGGTTTTAGACATAGAAATAAGGACGATACATCCTCATTAACAATTTATAACCTTACTCCTGTTTTTCCTAAACCTCCAGGTGCTAATAGTAGTAATTAGGACGACTTTAATATAGATATAGATGCGCCAGAAGAACAGGTATTTATAGTATTCATACCCCTATAAAAGAGAACCAGGCTAATTTTATATTAGACTCTGGATCTACAAGCCGTATAATTATAAATAGAACACTGTTTAGTTTGTATAAGGCACAAGCTACAACGCTAAATCAGGGAGAAAATAAGACTACTATTTCTATAGGAGTTGGAAATATAGACTTAGAGCTTAATAGGCATATCTTTATATTAGAAAACTGTTTATATATACCTTTATTTAGCTACAATCTAATATCTATAAGCAAATTAGACTCTACGGGTTTATATATAACTTTTAAGGATAGAACTGCTACTATATATAAAAATAGTACAGTAGTAGCAACAGCTATATTAAAAAACTCTCTATTCTATATAAATACATATAATAGAAGTCTACTTGCTAGGCAAATAGATAAACTAATAAAAGGCAATTTAATAAATACATATATAGATAGAAATAGTCTATCTATTTGGCACCAACAAATGGGCTATATAAGCTCTAAGAAGCTTAGTATTCTATTAGGAGTACCTATAAAAGACCCTATATAATGCAAAGCTTATATAAAAGCTAAAATAACTAAAAACAAGCGTAGTAAGGTAATAACAGCTAAACCTACTACTCTGTTACAAAAAGTTATATCAGATCTTACAGGGCCTATAAACCCACCTAGTATAGGGGGTAATAAGTATGTTATATTCTTCTTAGACGCAGCATGTAGATATTTAGACTACAAGCTATTAAAGAATAAAGCAGAAGCATATAATGCTTTTATAGAGTATAAGGTTACTGCCAAGAACTCTA